GCTGGGCCAAAGAAGCAGGGCCTGGAGTGCCGCTGGGCAGAAGAAGCTGGAACTTGAGTGCACTGAGCCGAAGAAGGAGGAGGAGCTGGAGTGCAGCTGGGCCAAAGAAGCTGGAACTGGAGTGTGCTGAGCCGAAGAAGGAAGAGCTAGAGCGTCACTGGGCCAAAGAAGCTGGAACTGGAGTGCACTGGGCCACAGAATGAGGAGCTGGAGTGCGCTGGGCCAAAGAGGCTGGAACTGGAGTGCGGTGGGCTGAAGTTGCTGGTGCCAAGTCAGCTGGAGCCTGAGCACAGGCCAAGTTGAAGCCACTGGAGCTGGGGGGCGGGGGGAGGGGTCAAGCTGAAGGAGCTGGGGGTGGGGCATGGTCCAGCCAAAGGAGCTGGGGCCGTGACACAGGCGAACTGGGGAAGCTGGGGCCGTGGATTGGTCCAGCCTGAGCAGCTGGGGCTGTGGTGCGGTGGGGCCTGAGCTGCTGCTGCCTCTGGTGCGGGGGCAAATGCTCGCCTCGGTGCTCGTCGGCCCGGGCACCTGGGGGCCGCTGCCTCTGGGGACGGGGCTGAGCTGAGGAGCCAGTAGGGCGGGCCGGGTGGGGGAGGGGCGCTTACTTTCATCTCCCCAATCTCAGAGGTTTCTCACCTCGCTGTCACTCTCTGCTCTCTTGAGGGGCTAGCTTTGTTGAAACTACCCTCCCAACACTTCTGCTCCCTCCATAGGGGGATCCCCTCAGGCTGTGAGGGGTCTTGGAGAGCGCCGGTTTTCACGTGGCCAGCCACCCCTCCCCCTCCTCTGGGAGCCTCATGGTCTCAGTCTCTGGGTCACAGTCCTTGGGGAAGGAAAGGAGCTCCTCTTACCTCCTTCCACTTCCTCTGGGGATTCCAGCACCTCTCTCCTCGGGTGTATGGCTGCCTGTGTGCCTCAGACGTCCCCTGTGTTGTGTGAATAGCTTCTGTTGGAATATGAATGTCCTTTCTGTTGTGTCTTAGAGGGGGAGAGTTCAATGGGGGAAGCTCACTCCGCCATGATGCTGAGGTCACTCTACACTATTTGTTTTTATTCCTTTGCTTTTCTGTTGTCTGCCTCCACTAGGACACAAGCTCAATGTGAGCAGGGACTTGGCTCTGTGTCTGGTACGTAATAGGCAGTAAATAAGGTGCACAGCCGCTGAGATCGAAGGCAGAGCGGCAGATGAGGTTGAATTACTCCTGGATGCTGTCTAATGAAACTTTGAGGGTAAACACTTGCTGGCAAGTCAGATTTGAAAAATAGACAAGTAGATCTCAGTGAGGTTTGCAAGTTTTATCATTCATTTTTCCAGGATATTCCAAACACTTCTTACATTTTTCTTCGCTTTTACAAAAATAGCAAAAATCTTAAATTTCAGTTTCTTTTTTTGAATTGTCTTAGGATATCTTTCACTTTGAAACTAAAACATCACAAATTTTTTCTTTTGTTTAAAGCTAAAACCACATATTCAGTTGATATCTATACTCAGATTAACGGGCTACCTAGAAAACCTTCCAGTTCAACAAAAGCATACAGCACAGTTGAATAAGAATGAATATATCTGTGGAAACATTTTGGAGTGATCCACAAAGGATGTTACCTGGAAGCATCCCTCTTTTTTTGCTAAAAGTCTAAGATTCCAGATGGGTTCACCTAGCCAAGAAAATATATAAACTTTAATTTCCCCTGAAGAATCTAGATCTTGCTAGCTACCATCAGCTTGAAATGTTTTGCTTATCTCACACTGAAATTGAGATTGTTTTTAGAATCAAAGCAGACCTCACCCATCCTGCCTAAAATGCTATGCCGTTTCTTCCAGGGCCTTAAACATGTGCTTTTCCATTAAGCAGCTGTAATTTCCCAAATCTCTTTATAAAACTCACTCTCTGGATGAAGGTGACAGTGTGGTGGCCTCTAAACCAAAGCTTACACCAGCATTGCTGAGCAGCTACACGTCCAAAGTGATTAATTCCAAGACCCTTTCAACAGTCATGATGTTTCTCAGGAAGTCAGAACTGGGAGTTAGAAGGAAGAGACTCTGGACACCTTCCCACTAGCACTGTCTCAAGTTGGCTCAATGCCCGATGACTGGCATGTCCCCTCCCATTCATCTAAGAATGTCATCGGAAGTCTGAGAACACTTCTGTTAACTCCGTAACACCAGCCATAATTCTTATGTCTGAACCAATGCATGTCCTGTATTTCTGATATCAGTTAACAGTATCTCTTAATCATAATTGGGTCAGTTTCTCCTTTGTTGAGCAAATCTATCGTTCAAGCTGTCACTATTAATATGAAACAACCTCTCTAAATCTTCTTATTAAATTGCAACGTACATTCTTTCAGGCATCGCTGGATGTAATCTAATATCTACCAATCTCCAGATATCCCATTTATTTCCAACTATTTCTTCCATTTCATTTATCCCTCAATTACCTTTGGTTTGGGTAACCCCATAAGAGTCAAAGAAATGTAATGAGTAGAAGGAAGTTTCCATCTCTCTTTGAGGGAGGAGTGGAAAGAATATCAGATCTATATATCTAATACACTAAAAAAAGAAAACTGCCAAGCTGCAACTTTTACCTCAAGGTCACCAGTCAATCAAGTCCAAAGCAGAAAGTTGTTTTTTGTGACCGGCCAGTTTCACTTTAATCCTTTGTAGACTAATATGTGCCCCCCATATACACACACATTCATGGATGTGCACACATACATACCCATCTATACACACACACACACGCCCCAGAAAATCTGCATCTACTTTTTATTTTCAAATAAAATTAGACCCTGAGGAACTCATTATCAAATGGAGCTTTTACATTTACATTTTAAAATCTTAGCTATGAATTCCTTAATCTCATGGAAAAAGAAGGGAATTATAAGTTTTTGTAAATGCATTAGAGAAGGTACGCAAACAAAGCTAACCACTTTTGGCATTTGGGCAAATCCAACAGCTTTAACAGTAGCTGGAGATTATCAGCAAATCCCAGTGTCATGTGCATAAGTGTATATGTGTGTACACAATATTAAATGTCATATAAAACACACACATAAAAACACCATCTGTATTATGTAATATGGACACCTGCATACTCACTTCTGGGATACAAACTCACTCATACGACACACACAGTATTTCTGATAATCAATAAACCCAAACTCAAAAGTCTTTCCACCTTTTAATTCTATACAGAAATTAGGACACACTGATAAATGGCACATATTTACAGTAGAAAATACAGGAGAAGGAATACTTTTACCACCTCCCCTATCCAGGACGCTTTGGCCTCTCCTCACCTCCCTAGTGGCTCCGCCTGGAGGTCACAGTGCAGACATGGATAGGGCCATGGATACTACTGGGCGACATCACTGTGACTTACAAGAAAGAAATTCACATCTCCTCTCTAATACTCCCTCTCCTGATTCGTATAACAAAACTGGTAAACCAAATCCATCTCCCCTGTCCCTACAGTTGGGCAAGGGAAAGGTCTCAGCCCTGCCCTGCATGGGAGCCTAAGATAAAAGTCCTTTACCAGATTCCCTCCTGGGACTCAGGTCCTCACACTGCTCCAAGTAAAGCAGCACCTTGAGTCTCATCCTGCTCTTCTTCTTCAGGTGAATGTTTGTGGGAAGTTCTCCAGGAAGGCAGAGGAGGTTTCAAGCATTCCTGGGTCCCTGGCCCCCATGCCATCTTATGAGCAAGACTTAATCCTAACAGGAAGCTCTCCTTTTATGCAGGGCATTATTGCCCATCAAACTGCTGCCGTGTGATTTTTAGCAAAATCATTTAACGTTGTTTTCAGAAATGAATTAGACACAAAAACTGGAAAAAAGGTCAGAGGAACTGTGGACATTTTTGCCAACAACACATCTCCAGTCTAAGCTTAGCTGTGGTGATCCGTAAGACCACAGCAGGTCTTCCTGATCTCTTTCCCTGGACACTGAGAACAAGAAAAGATTCCTTCCAGGGCAATGGACTCTCCTCTGCTTTGCTTTCTGCTCAGAAACCTGTTCTTTTTACATTTTGATCATTTTATAACCACCCCTGGTTCCCAGACCTAACGCAAATAATTAATGATTCATACCTAGTTCTCTGCCACACATTTCGTAATAATTCTCAGAGTAATGGATCCTACTACACAGTTTGTCAATAACTTGGTCAGGTAGAACTATCTCTGTAGGGAGTGGTTTTATTTTGTAAACTGTGGTTATCCTAATTAACTACAACATTGCCTATTTAATTGAATTGACTATGTGCTTCCAGGGAATATTGAAAGAGTGCTCTATCTCTACACTAACCAAGGTCCTGATACCAAGTATAAATGACAGATAAAATAGGCAAAATCATTCCAAAGTCAACTTTAAAATACAAAAAACCATCACCTGGGGCCAGCCAGGTGGCATAGTGGTTAAGTTTACACGCTCTGCTTCGGCAGCCTGGGGTTCGTGGGTTTGGATACTGGGTGCGGACCTACACACTGCTCATCAAGCCATGCTGTGGTAGTGTCCCACATACAAAATATGAGGAAGATGGGCACAGATGTTAGCTCGGGGCCAATCTTCCTCACAAAAAAACAAATAAAAATTAAATAAATAAATAAATAAATAAAACAGCTGTTGTACCATTTCCGTATGTTTGAACCTGAACCCTGCCCTCTTAGGAAGAAAAGTAATTAATTTCTCAGATTACTCCCAACCTGAAAGCCTTTTTAAGCAAAGACATTTGGTTGTGCACAGCACAGTCATCTCCACCCCACATCGACAGCTCCTTCAGAAGCAAAGGCCAAACCAATCAATTCCTGGGGGACCACAAGTTGGGACCTCCACCATAGGAGCAGTCCTCGCCCTGGCTCTTTGGTTCTTCGCTTGGCCTGTAGAATAGCCTTGCAAAGTCTACATTGCTTCCAGAGCCCAGGTGTTCTGTGAGCTAGACATGAAATTAAGTCAAAAGAAAACATCAGAGATAGAAAATGAGCATATAAAGGTACTTACCTTAGCCGTGATTTCTTTAAGTGACAAGTTGAGGGATTTTATCCTTTCCTGGAGGCTAGAAGAATTAGAAAGAGGACATTGGTCTTCTTGGTATCATAGTTCAATACCACCACATATAGGAACACCGCGAAACATGAACCTTCCATCAGCCCAATGGCTAAAGAAGAACAGCAGGAAAGATGATGCCAAATTGGTTGCATTTGACAGTGAAATCAATATGCTACTGGGAAGCAGATTTCCCCTCCCTAATTATGCTCTACTTAGGTAGTATTAAAATCTGTTATCATTTCCAGACATCTACGGATAGGGTGAAGGAACAACACAGATGTGCTCCCTGGCAGCAAAGGATGAAAATTTAGACTCCTGTAACTACCTTTCAAGAAGGATGGTCTACACAGAGTGGTGTTTCACAGGCAATAATCAAATATTACCTACTTGGGTCTACTGTGCAATTCAACCAATATGTCCTGCGCACTTTCTGTGCTTGGCAACGAGGTGAAGCATATAGGAGACACATATATTTACAGCACGTCTAAAATAGAATTCCCTTACTCTTGAGGCTTTCCCCTGCTTCTTTTTGCTCTTTAGCATTATTCACCTTGGCATATTCATTTATTCACATAATTTCTCTCTCCCCCCATTGGAATATAAGTTCCACAATTGCAGCAAGTGTCTATTGTGTTCACTCCTGTATCTTCAGTGCTTAAAACAATTCCTGGAGCTTAGGCCCTCAGTCAGTATCTGCAGAGTGAATGAAAGAACGAAACTAAGACTCAGATCTTATTCTCAACATTGTTATCTAATGGAGAAGAAGTTCATGCGGACAACCAACTATAATATAGAGCAAGATGAAAAAATTAATATAAGGGGAATAAAAACCCAACGCCAGGATCAAACTGCTGCATAAAAACTGTCACAGGCAGAATATTGTCTCCAGGTGAGCAATGGAGACAATAACTTCACAGCAATTAAGAAACCAGGGGATTGGTGGGAAAGCTTACTGAAAGAGGTGGAAAATGAACTGGGCCTCAAAGAAAAAAGGAGGAAGAATGCAATTTCAGGCAGAAGATGAATCCAACTGGACCAAATGGTTCACACGGTGAATTGCGAGAGAGAAAGTTAAAAAGGGGAATGATTATTTTTAATACAGAGAGAGTGGGGAGGATAGGAGTGGGAGGTCTACCTGTATTTGTAATGTTTGTTTATTTATGTAAGAAAATAAATGGCAAAAATGCTAATATTTCTTTAATCTCAGTGGCAGGAAAATGAGTATCTGTTATATTTTTCAACATGTTTGGAATCTTTACAATTAAAACAATTTTTAAAGGAATGTCAAGGACAAGCTATAGTCAGTACTGAGTGCCAGGCTAAGGAGTTCTGAGCTTTATCCAACAGGCAATGGGAAATCATTCCATTTTTGAGCAGGAGAACAATATGAAAGAAATGGGTTTTTTTCTGGAAAATCAATTGGGCAGCACTATGAGAGATGATTTTGCGGAGGAAACACTGAACGTGACAAACCAGGCAGACACCTTCAGCACAAACCCAGCTGTGAGGTCCAAGGGCCTGCACAGAGTGACAGAAGTCAGAAAGGAAAAGATGGGGGGGAGGTCCTTTGATGATGCTGAAGCTAAAAAGCAGCAAGGGCATCTGCTCTAGAGCTTTTCATCTATTCATTCATTCACAATCTCATTAATTCTTCCAGTATCTATTGGGCACCTAGTAAGTTAGGAACTTGGAGCATAAAGACATGGTTCTTGCCCTCAACAGCTCACTGCTGCTAGACAGCAGCCCAAAATGCCAAAAAAAAAAAAAAAAAGTTACAAGTACTAGAAGAGAAGTGGTCACTTGGTAAAATGGTGAGCTGCAAAGGGGGAGGGTTATGTTTCTGGGGTATGTGGGGGAGGGGGTCAGCAAAAGCTTCCACAGCAGGGGTTGCAAAGTCTCAGAGCAAGGTCGCCAATTTGCTGATTATTGTTGTTCTTCAACTGTAAGAACTGGTTTTGAATGTGATCACCTCCACCAATCTGTGATTTCTGAGTACAGTGAGCTCGTTTCCATTAAAAATACCCCGGAGCTGGTGCAGGTACGTTCTAAACAAAACCATCCCCACTTTAGACCTACATTCAACAGAGGAGGGTGTCCCAGCTGAGGTGAGATCAGCCCAGATGGAGGAGATGAGAGGTGACAAACGGCAGGGCATGTGGCAGCAGATTTTTCTGAATTCAGGAGTCACAATATGAAAAAAATCAGTGTGCTCGATGGGAACAGTGGGAAACAGCACACGGAATCCTGCCTAGAGAATTCTAGACACTGGCTGGATGGAGACCGGATCTTTTGAAGAGTGGGGAGCAGACTTGAGATGTTGGGGAGAGAAGGGCAGAGGGTGTCAAAGACGGGTTTGTTGGTTTTGCCTCTGATTCTAGCAGCAGCACCAGTTTGTGCTGCTAATGTCTGCTCTCCAAACTTAAAACCTTCCTTGAGCAGAAATGCACTTTCTCTTTCTAGGCTCATGGGAGTCCATTCAACCAATAACTTTTCAATAAATGGTTCACCACAAAATTGATCCTATGACCATTTAATAGTATCTTATAAAGAGGTGTTCCAAGCCACACACAAAGACTAGTTCATGCATTAACAATTAAGATAGATAGGTAGTGGGTCCACTTACTGACACTGAAAATTAGCTGACAAAAACGGCACTACCTTTAGCTAACGCCCAATAGGTCAAGCGCCACCCTCCCAAGGGTTGACACAATTCACTGGTCTTGGCTCAGCTCTGGCCCTATCCCAGAAAAAAAATTAGTCTCCTCTCCAACATCCATGTTAGAGCAGGGAGGCAGTGATGCAGATAATTGAATGCATTGCTTTATATTTGATTTGATTTATATTTAATTTATTTAATTTATGCTATATTACTTTTTGCAGTAGATTTATCTTCCTAATTATGTTTTGCTCAGGCTAATATTAACATTAGTTGCATCCCTAGGGTATACATAGAATGAAAGCAACAGGGGGCAAAAGAATATGAATAATCTATATACCATGCTAGTGGTTTTCAAGCTATTTTTAGTAGTAGAACTCTCAAAGAAAATTTTATACAGAACTATAATCTATAAAATAGATAATAGGGGATTTGTTCTGATTGAGGTGGGGCATCTGGCCTGGGGTACAATTGATGTTACGTTGACCCCACACACTTAATGCCACCACCATCACACTGTGGTCCCTGAACGATGACTCCAGGAGCAGGAATATACATTGAAAACCACCAAATTAGATGAGTTAAATGTTTATAAACAGGAGTTACGTGTACTCCAATAGATAAAACTAACCCTCATGTTTCTTTGAAGCTTGCATAATGTTAATGACAAAGAAGAACTGTCCTCTCAGATCAAATTATACTATACCCTGGAAACACATAAGTTGTCTCCGCAATTACCAGATAATGTTTTAACAAACACACCAGACCTAATTTACTCAAGTATCTTCATTCAAAGCAGCTACCCCAGGAAAAGTAGTGTCAAACATTTATTGAGTACTTACTGTGTACTAGGCACTCTTCTATATTCCTTACATAGATTAGCCTTTGAAATTCTCATAACTCTATGAAGTAGGTACTATAATATCTACATTTGCAGGCAAGAAAACTCAGTCAAAGAGAGATTTAAGTAACTTTCCTGGGATTAATCGGCTGGTAAATGGTTAATGATAATCCAGGCAGTCTAGCTGTCTGTTCTCCTAACTACTGAACTATACTACCTCTCCTAGAAGCTATGTACTTATTCCAAATATGCTGTCATTGACCAGACTTATTTTTAGAATTATGTTAAATTTACAATACAATCAATGTCATTATTTGTAAATGCATATTATTCTTTACTCACAAACTGGTGTTTAAATTATATGACCAAAATTCATCCTTGACAAATGAAGCCTTAGAAAAGTGGAGACTACGGACAAGAAAGTGCTGCAGAGAAAGCCCATCAGTGGCAGATGGGACTGGGGCTGGCAGTCGTGAAAGGAAGTCAAGTACAAAGGGGTCATTACGGATTGACCATGTCCCCCCACCCCAATGCATTATGCTGGTGTCCTCAGAATGGGACCTTATTTGGAGATAGTGTCTTTACAGAGGCAATCAAGTTAACGTGAGGTCATTAGGGTGGGCCCTAATCCAATATGACCTGTGTCCTTATGAAAAAAGGAAATTTGGAGACAAAGACAGGCACACAGAAGGAAAACAATGTGAAGAGACACAAGGAGAAGACCACTATCTACAAGCCAAAGAGAGAGGCCTGGAACAGATGCTTCCCTCAAGCCCTCAGAAGCAACCAACCCTGCTGACACCTTGATCTTGGACTTCGAGCCTCCAGAACTGTGAGACAATAGATTTCTGTTGTTCAAGCCACCCAGTCTGTGGTACTTTGTAATGGCAGCCTTAGCAAACTAATACATGCGGGATTTTCAATTTTTAATAGTATGATTAATCATATGTACTGGTGCTCCAGGGTCCAAGAAAAAAAAAGTCACTACTCTATGTGGCAGCAGCCAGACAAGGGGAGACACGACAGCTCTTGTATTTGCTTCAGACTAACAGACGGTTTCATTTTCAACCCCCCCAAATGGGAGACTGAGAGCAGCCATGACAATAGATCCGTGCAGAATGTAAACATTCTTGTCTGTAGTGTAGGAGCTAAGGATTCTGAGGGGTGGCTATAAGAAAAGTTTACGTGAAAATGTCTTTGATCTTTAAAAAAAAGATTATGGGACCCTTGGGTTAGTATAGGAGCTCACAAACACCTTAGCTTCATGTCAGGAATGAAAAGCGGCTCTGTTAAATACCCCTGAAACATCAAGAAGAATGCTCCCACTGATGTCAAAAATATCAGTAATACAAAATTCCATTTGGGGAGGGACAGATTGCTTTTCAGCAATAATTAGAAGGGAAAATGGAGCTGAAGTCAATCCCAGTAACTAATCTAAATAGTACAAGCCAAGACTTGGTCAAGGGCCAGAATGAGACATTTATCCAAGAGAATATCAGCCAGGCAATTT